ATTGTGCATAGTTTGATTTAAAACAGTTTTACTCAATAAATAATTTAAGTTTGTTTGGTTAGGTATCTTAATACTGTTGTGTTTTGTTAGATGAATTAGTAAATGATTTTTTAATGAATGTTTTCTTTTATAGATTGCAAGAAATGGTTCAGGACAGTGAAACCATCTTGCCCTGTTTGAAGTACTCCCAGAGTCTACTAGAGAAGTTCAAATGATCCTAAGATTTCCTTGTTTTGTTCCGAGACAGATCTGCATTGTGGATTCAATTAACGAGTTTCTATAAAGTCTCTAGTTGGATAAAAATGATCCCCCCTACATGGTTCTGAAAGTTTAGTTTAGGGTATGTTGATAAACATCTGACAGAGAGAGAAATTCCTGCCTCATTTCTATTTGTTGTGTTTTATATTTCATTTATAAGTGCTTTAACTTTAAACATTTTCAATCTGATAAACTTTAAAAAACAATTCCATTATTCTTGAGTCACCAGTCACCTTACTTACAATGGTGATTGTTTTTAAACAAAGTTTGTATTTCTTTTAAATCAAATTTAGAAGATGCTTGTTAGAGGACTATTTGTTTTTATCCTTATTTCATTTTTAACAATGTGATTAACAGTGCAAGGTTGAGTGAATGAATTATTAAATGTTTAAATATAGCACACCTTTTGCACATTTAACAATATTTTCTTCCTATAGTAAAGCACTTAATTAATAAATGACATGGTGTTTTAATTGTGAAATCTTTATAATAAGTTATCCATTTTCTGTTGAATTATTTGATGGTGTACTGCCAGAATAATGAGACGTCACACTGCAACTAATTTTATAAAATTCCAAATACATTAGTAAAAACATTAATCTGAAGCTTACTTAATATTGAATGATTTTAACTCAAAACTATCAGAGAAAAACTTGTAAACAAGCAGGTATTTTTCTTTTAAACAGAAACAGTAAGAAAAAGTAGGTTTGTCGTATTGAACTTTGGAATGTTTTTAAACAACTTCATTTAATGTACAATGCATACTATTGTGATGAATTGTGGTGTTTTTTTATACAGAATTTTACTTCTGTATTGACTAAGAGTATGTTATTAAACAATTTTATTTGTTATGCAAAATTATTTGTTGTGTTGAACAATTTCCTTCACTGTACAGATCTATTGTATTGAACTGTGGTGTGTGTGTGAATAAAAAATAAACTCCATTTGAAACACACTTTTTTTTCTACTGGCATTTTAAAATGATCATTAAAAATGTATGTAATTGAAGGTTATGAGAACGAAGAAAATTCTACATTTTAAAATATGCTAAATCAACAGAAATACATTATTTTAAAACTTGTATGTGGAAAATTATATTTTAAAACCTTGTAGGTGTTCATGTTCAAAGGTATAACAATAGAGCAATGTCATTTTCAAATTATCTTCAAAACTTTGTACTGTGGTAAGTCATAATAAATTTTGTCAAAAACAAGCAGGCTAAAAATATTATTGAACTTGGTGATATCTTGACAGTTGGAGATGTAAAGTCTGTAATGTGCCTTGGTGTTACATTTTATTAAACATTTTTGTATGATCCTTGTATTGTTTTGTAATGACTGATTCACATTGTTATTCCCAAACGTCATTTCATCAAAATTAATTACACACTTCCTTGGTAGTAAGTAGT